CACTGGCCGTAGGCTGCTGCGACTGTTGCAGGCGGGCTGGTTGGCGAAGGTAAGTGGTGGACGCGTCGTCGGTGGACTCGTAATCTCACAAGAACTCGAGGTAGAAAACCCAGGGCCTCGCGGTCGCCGTTGGGGCACATGCCTGCGAGCAGGTCCTTGACGGGGCTGGCGGCGGAGGTGCCGAGGATGTCGCTGAAGGGCAGCTTGCAGAGGAGCCCGTTGCTGCCGTTGGGGTCACAGACAAGGTTGTTCGTGGGGGCAGACGGCGAGCTGCCGCTCAACTGCCAAGCGACGGCGCCGTGCTTGTAGTTGTAGCCGGGGAACGCCTCGAAGTTGAAGTAGATGTTGGTGCCGACAAAGTCAAGGCAGACCCTGGACGACGCGGTGGGTGCGTTGGCATCGCCCGATGTAGATGGGCGGGCACTGCTCCGAAGAAGTTGTTCCTCGAGCGACAGCTGGATCGTGTGCTTGTCCGGAAAGGCGGCTCCGCGGAGCTTGCAGTCGTTCTCGCAGACATCCGTAGCCCGTGCGCTTCAGGAGCTGGCGAGAGAACTGCCCAGGGGCAGCGAGCGCGAGGCCCGGCGCCGGCGAGGACGAGGGACGAGGCGGTCTTCATGGTCAGGGGATGTCTAAGAACTGCCGATGGCCAAGCTTCGAGTCCCTGCTGCGCCAGACGGCGACGCTGAGATATATGTAGTTATTCGACTACCAGCGCACGGTGGTTTGCCTGGGAGCTGAGCAGTGGGGATGGGGCGGGTCTAGACCAGCATCGTGGGCTGTTGACAACAGCCAGCCCCTGAACCGGCGAATCACTGCCGGTGGCGTTCCACATCGATCTCAGCTCGCCGGAAGCTATTGTTTTTGGCCCACCTATCCCGAATAGTCGCTCAGGCCGGAATGGGGCTTGCCTTAGCGGCTGAGCGGGACCAATCTGCCGGAACATCCGACAATAGTATGGTCTCACTTGGCCCGATCACTTCACGTGGCGGCGATGACAGGCACGGCCAGGCCGCGGCCGCATCTCAGCCGTCGGGAAGATTTGTACGCGGGCTCAATCACTCGGGCCTAGACCACCAACGACCCGACATGTCAAACCACAATCCTCTTCACCACCACGCCCGCAGCGGCATAGCACAGTGCGCTCACCACATACGGCAAGCCCAACGCCCAACCCCCAATGCGCATGCCCGTCACCCACAGACCAGGCATCACGATGGACCCCACCAGCGTGCCGACCGTCCGCACCAGCATGACAACCGAGAACATCTGCGCAGCATGGCCCTCCCCATCTGCACTCCCAGCCGCCATCATACTCGGCGCCCTCAACAGCGAGTACGTAAACATAGGCAGCGCAATGCCCAACGCATAGACCAGCAGCGACGGCGCCAGCACCCCCACCGTCGGCGACACCGCAATCGCCGCGGCCCCCAGCACCGAAAACACCAAGCACACATACGCATGCACCACATTCTGCGCATCCGCCCCATCGCTCCCCCCCACACCACCACCATCACCACCCAAAGAAACCCCCGCACACGCATGAACCACCCCCCCCCCTCCCCCTCCCTCCACCTCAGCACCCTCGGCACCACCCCCCACCAAAACCACAAAATTCCACACCGCCTTCCCGGACAACAAATACCCCCACGCTCGCAAACCGCCAGCCATACCGCTTCGACATGTACAGCGGCAGGAGCTTGGTATCCGACGACGCGAGGGCGGCGAGGAAAAACACGGTGAAGAGCAGGGTGAGGTTGCGGGTGGGGTGGCGGAGGAGGGTGAGCAAGGTGCGCAGGCGGGTGGTGCTGTGTTCGTGCCAGGAGTAGGAGGTTGGGGTCTCCTCCTCCTCGTGGTGGGGGGTGGGGGTGATGAGGGGGGCGTCTTCGGCGGTGGGGTCCGGGTTGGGGTCGCTTTCTGGGAGGGGTGCTGTTGCTGTTGTTGGAGGTGGTGGTGCTGCTGCTGCTGCTGCGGTGTGGGCTTCTTCGTCGCGGGGGTTGGGCTGGGGCAGTGGCAGCGCGGAGATGACGGGGACGGCGAGAAGCAGGATGGCGATGCCCAGCCAGAGGGGCAGCCAGAGGAGGGTCGTCATGGTGGCGGAGGCGAGGGCGGGGCCGAGTTGCAGCGAGAAGATGGACGAGACGGCGTTGACGTAACCGAAGAAAGTCGCGCTGTGGTCGGCGTCAGTTAGTCCGTCGTGGCCGTTTGCGTCTCGATGTGCTGGGAAAGGCCAAACTCACCGGAGGACATGGTCGTCGGTCAGCTCCGAGACCAGGGCATAAACGATCGAGTTGAAGACGCAGTCGCCGCCGAAGAACGAGAACATCGGGGCGGCCACGATCGCCTGCACCGGCAGCACGCGGTCAAAATAACCCACGGCAAAAGTCCACGCCAACAGGAAGACGCGCGGGACAAGGTTGAGATACAACACAAAGCGGTGGCCGTAGTGGTCCGCAAGGCACACGAGCGGGATGGTCATGACAAAGTCTATTACATCATCTTAGCACATGCTACGGCCAGCTCGAAACATCGACATCATCATCATCTCGGCAAGAGGCTCCTACCGCCAGCAACCCACGACGCTTCCGTGACACCCTGGAGCCAGCCCAGCTGCTGCTGCACCTCGTCGATCTTGCACAGCTCCTCCGGTACCGACCCGTCCGGAAGCAGCACCGAGGGATCGGTGGCGGCATAGTGTTGGCGACACAAACGGCTCTCGATCACGCGGCTCACTGGGAGCTGGTACAGGCTCCACGCGAGATTGACCAGAGCGACGAGCAGCAGCAGCGGCCGAATGGCGCGGCGCGGTGCCGATGGTGGGATTGGTTTGGGCCGGGCACCCGGAGAGCGGCGCCGTGGATGCGCCATGCAACGAGCGGTATTACCGATAGCGGCAGCGGTGCGTGGTGTGGTGGCAGCAATGGTCTCTGCCATTGCCGGTTGCCGGGCGCCGGAAGCTCTGCTGCTGCAGCTGGGGAGCAGCGGTGAGCTGAAGGAGCGCCCAGGCTGGCGGCGGGACAGGCAGCAAATTAATTTGGCGGCGCCTGGGGAGACCCTGGAAAACTACCCGTGCCGCAACCCCGCTTTCCTTGTGTCACCCCCCACTGATCCTCATTTGATCCTCCCGCTTCCTTCTCAAAGCTCAAATTCCACCTCCCAGTTGCTCGCTGTGACAAGAATATCTCATGAAATCCCAACACAAGCCCAAATCGGAAGAATTGAGATGAGAGAACTGCACCCCCGTAGATAGGGGTAATTTAAGTCCACTGCCAGATCAGATTGTACCGTCTGTAGAAACTTCTTTTCCTCCTGCTTTGCCCTTTTCAGTGCAATCACCGGACGTACTGCGGCGGAGGAGACTTGGGTTGCTGTTGTTGGCCGTGCTCCAGGGGCGAGTCAGGCAGGCCCGGGGTTAAAGGTGAGACGCTTTTGGTCTCGGTAATGGCAGTGGTAGGCTCATTCTTGGCCGTGTCAAGCTCGGCGCTGTCGTGGCCGTGCCCGTCCAGCTCAAACTTGCCATTGTCGTCGGCCATCTCGATGCGGAATAGGCGGCCATCGACCTCGTAGACGGCGCTCATCTGCTGCATGACCGCCTGGCTCTGCTGGCGGTCTTGCACCGGATCTTGGAGCGGGTGTAGAGGCTTGGGCGGCTCGCCGGCGTCCGACATGGGCCCGGCCGATAGCGTGCCCGACCTGTCACTGGCAACCCGGGTGTGCGTGCCCTGGGAGGTCCTGCGCGACCGTCGGAAGTACCAAAACACCAGACCGGCGGCGATCACGAAGAGCAGCCCGCCCAACGACGCCGACGGCAATGCCGATGATAGTGCCCTGGGGACATGCCGTCGCCAGAAGAAGTGCTGACCCCACCCTCTGTTGGCTCCACGTTAGCACTGTCCCGCTGCTATCTCGGTCCCCATCGAGCGGAGGGAAACTCACCAGGCGGATCGCTGTGATCGCAGAGATAGACCTGCGAACACGTGGTCTTCTCATATATATACAGGTCCTTGACGTAGTTCTGATAACAACTAAAATTGCCGTAGCCGTTCTCGCCCGTGCCGGCGAACTGGCCCTCCTCGACACGCGGGCCGAGGGTGGCCCGAAACACCACGCCGGTGTCGGTGAAGAGGCCGGACGTGTTGGTGTTGACCCAGAGGGCGGCCTGTCCCGGCGTCGTCACCACCACGGCCACGTCCTTCGGCTGTGGGCCCGGGTCCTGCTCGAAGTAGGCGATCTGCGATGACACCACGCCGCTCTGGTCGCGGCAGTCGGCGAGCACGACATGCTCGCCCTCATTGCGGGCGTGCAGCCGATGGGAAGAGTAGCCAACGGCGGCAGCGCTGGCCGGGGAGATGTGGGAGGGGTGTAAGAAGAGACTGGTGATGAGGGCGAGGTTAGGAAGTCGTAACCTAAGCCCGGCGGTCCCGGTCGCACGCCGGCGCCGATTTGTTGGTTGAGGGTTGCCCATTGGGAATCGGGAATCCGAACACACAAGGTCCTCACACGGACCCGGAGGAAGCGGGATTCAATAAAGTAGCGGGAGCGGGCGGGGCCGTCCTCGGCAACTAATAGGGACCGGAGAGTGACACGATTGGGTTGCGATTGGCGATGATTGGAATGATGGATCGCAAACAGACCCGACGGACAGGAACCGTCTGGTTAGCGTGGTCAAGCGGACGACTTAGGCGAGATTCGTTACGAGAGAGGAGTCGTCAAAGTCTCCAGGGAAGATGCTTTCTCAAAAATGGCGAACTTGCCCAAAATGCAAAATGCATCCTCCTCCTCAGTCAGCACTGATAACCCCATTTTGAGGGGTTCGGCCGACAGCCACCCAATAAATGGCGTGAAACGGCTGGGAAAGTTCTTGATTTTCCATCACGGCCACCAATGAGCGAGGTCTGACGAACACCCATGCCGGCATTAGTGCTGACGCTACTTCTTTTTTGGTGCCCAGACGGAGGTCTGGACCGCTTGGGGTTGGAGAGGGAAAGTGGGAGCAACTCACAGAAAAACAAGCATGACTGGTCCGCCATCAGGTGGCATCGCGTGACTCCCGTGTTTGGAGTGAAAATTCGAGATTCAACTCTCACACGTGACGAGCACCATGGAACCTTTCACCGCTTGGAATGTTTTGAAGAAGGAACGAGTGGTCCTAATACACAGATTAATTTCATCTAATTTCATGATTCATCCGCGCTCCGCAAAAACAAAAGCATTTTTGCGCGCATCCAAAATGCTACCGACCATGAGCTCCGAACCGTGCTTGCGGGTCTCTGTGAAGATGAAAAAACACCAGGAAGGAGGCTGCCGGGATGTTCAGTGGCCTAGAAAGGGCTGCCAGAGCCCTTGAGGAAAGCAATCAACCACCCACACCGCTGTACATATATGTTCGAACTGCAAAGAGGCATACCGCGAGGTTCAGAACGCGCCCGACGCTTGTCATTATCACCCAGGTGAGTGGTGTCGTCAGTGACTGCCGCGAGATACGACAAAGCACGCCGATCACCAACACTTGTAAGTTTAGGCGCTGTTGTCATCAACCATGACAACGATGAAGCCTGGGTGGACTGCGACCCCGAGCACATTTTCGATGACCCAGAGATGCGGGAAGACAACCCCGAAGGTTTCATGTGGACCTGCTGCGACGAGGCTTTCGATGCCATCGGCTGTAAGCTGGGGTTTCATCAACAGCGCGGCGTAAAGACACCAACGGCAGCGCCCGTGCTGCCCACAGATGGGGAACGTGAGAACAAACGTGCTCGGCGATCCTGAGACAATACCACTGTTCAACGCATACGGGCAGGTGGTGACGGGACTAAATTGTAACTAGGAATCGGCAATCGTTGTCTAGGACCAACCACCAACCCCTATTCATCCTCGGCTTCCATTCATCCATTCATCAACACACTACATATCCTCAAACGGCTTCCACTCGTTCATAACCATGTCCACGGCCCGCTTGGTCGCCTCGTCCAGGTCCTCCTTCGGCAGCCCCAGCGTCTCGGTCGCCGTCTTGCTCGTCCCCGCGAAGTCGCTCGAGTCGTTGGCAGCATCAAAGATGCCGCCATACAGCGTCTTGGCAAACCCGCGCCGGTTCCCCTGCTTCAGCTCCGCCGCGCCCTCCTTCACCCGCTTCGCAACAGGCTCGTACGAGATCTCCCAGTCCGCGTCCGTCGTCCCCAGCACCCGGTGCAGGCTATCCAGCATATCCCGCTGCGACACGCGGAAGCTGTGCACCAGCACCTGCCCATTCTTAAAATCCGCCAACGACGGCGACGCGCCCGTCTCCGGCAGGCTCAGCAACGCCGCCAGCGCGCGCCCGCACTGGTCCCACGTGCTTACCGTGATGGTCCTCAGCCCATCATCAAAAAACGTCACCTTGCGCTCGCGGATCTCAAACCCAAACCACTCGTTCCCCAACGCCAAACTCCACTCATACCAAAACCCGCACGACATGGTCAGCGCCGCAGACACCCCATTCCCCGTCACGTCCGCGACGCGCTGCAGCGCAAACTTGGCGTAGATATCATCCGGGGTAGGGTTGCTCGCGGGCGGGAACCCGTACGCGTTGGGCATGACGTAGGGCACGCCGGCCTTGCCCGCCGCCGCCGCGATGCGGCCGTGCAGGTCGGGCGGCGCGTCCACGCCTAGCGTGATGGCGAGGAACTGCTGGCCCTGCAGGGCGGCGAGGAGGGACGCTTCGTCGTCATAATTGACCGCGATCTTGGTCACGCCTTCCGGGAGCGTGCTGTTGCTGCCAGCGCGGGTGAGCGCGGTTACGGTGTGCTGGCCCGTGGCGAGCAGCGATTTGGCGAAGGCGCCGCCGATGCGGCCGGAGGCCTGTTGGTGGGGGGTTAGAGTTTGGTGGTTGGGGTTCGTGGGTGGGTGGGACTTACGCCGATGATGGCAACTCGCTCGAGGGACTTGGTCGCGGTAGACATGATGGCGTTGGTTGGTGGATGGACTGGGTGAGTCTTGGTTGGTTTTGGTTACGGAATGGATAGGATGTGAAGATATCAAGGTTGGCTTTGCTTTGATATCGGTTGATGGAGGACCTAGGAGAGAACGGGCCAAGACATGATCTCGATCATCTTTATACCTTACTAACCTCCCTCATCTTTAACGACTTCATCGCGGACATCATTGTGTTCCGTGGGCCCGCATCACACGTTGGGGGCCGGAATTAAGGGCGGAGATATGCCAAGCCGTCCCGGATGCAACCCCTGGAAATGCGGGACACAGGCACGGGAGTGACAAAGCAGGCCGATGTGTCGGGACTCCGGGAGCAAACGAGCTTCAAGGGTGGCCGTGATGAAGTCTTGCTGACAAAATTGCGGCTGCATCCGTTGCAGCTTAACTCTAATGCAACGATCAAGTCGAGGGCCGAGAGTCTGGGTATCTCCGCTAACACCAGTGCTACCCCTGGATCCTTCCGCAGCGGCTGAGTCCGTCAATTGTCATCCCTTCGGTGTTTGGCGGATTTAGCCCCCTTATCGCAGATGTCGGGTCATGCCGCTCCGATGGTCCGATTGCTGACCTTCGGTGGCCGATATCCGTGACGTGTTTCAGCTCATTCTACACGTTAACGGCTTTTCAGGTTGGCTTGCTGGCAGTATCTCCGATTCCCTTATTCAACCCTTGTGTAACTCAACTCACCTTATCACGGGGATGTCGTCTGAGTAAACACAGGGCCCTATAACGGATAGGCATGTTGTGACGAACCTACTTCAGGACCCTGTCCTGTTAGGGTTCAGCTTCGGTTGAAGGTAATCTCTCAAGGGTGCTTAGGTTCGGTGCAGCCAAAAGGTGCACAACAAAGACTTGTCTCAACAGTAGACTTTCGAGCTTGTAGCGAACTGTAGTTGTGATTGCTAACTGGAGAACTCCCAGAGCTCTCCAGGACGAGTGACTATATACTAGCTGATTCCTAAGTGCTCAGTGTGCTCAGTATGCCCTTGGCAACTGAGCTCACTGATCAATGTTGAGCCATCCCGGCTCCCTATTGGTGGTCCTGTCCTGGTGCTCAGTGTGCTCAGTCTGTCCTTGGCAACTGAGCTCACTGATCACCTTGACTACTCCTTGGCCTCCTGATTGGTTGCTAATGATTGGCTCGGGGCGTCCCGCCCCCCCCCCCCCGGGGTCCCTCTTGTTGGCGTATTCGTGACACATGTCGGTGTGACACATGGAACCTAGTTCTTAAACTTTTGAGGAGTGACGATGCCGGTGGCGGAGTCGAACGGTTCTAGATACTACTTCTACTATGACATTACTAATGGAGGTAAGAATTACAACGTTTCAGACCCTACATCGGGCTGTTTATCGTCACCTAAGACGTGTATCCTCCCGGGAGGCAGAAATGATATTGTATTCAGGGGGTCGAGGTTGTGGTCTTTATTTTGTTAGTCTCTTACAAATCTAGTCATCGTCCAGAGACAGCTACTACTGTCCAGCTTACAATAGTCGAGAGCCTACGGTACCTAGTTGGAGGCGCTAAGAGTTTAAACTCCGGAAGGTTGAAGCGGCAGTAAATGGCCATTCTTACTCTCAAAAAATGTCCATTTTTAGCATTTGGTGTCATCAGCAAAAGAAGAAGCAGGAAGAGGCGTGACGCAACAAGAACTGTTCTGACTACGAGTAACCTATAACAAGTCGGACTTGATCATATATAATCTAGTTATCATCTTTTCTTCTTCCTTTTTCTACACACTTGCGATATTCCAAGATGAGACTAAGCTGCAGCCTTGACGTCAAAGAAGATGGCGTATTTAGCTACCATCATAACGCACCCCAAGCGCAAGGGAAAACAGGTTTAACAATGACCGTAAAGCCCTTCGAAACTCATTCACGTCGAACGGTGTCCACCCTGAATCTGAGCGGCCGAATTGTTCTAGAAGATTAGGTACTATATCCAAGTCACGCAATGTTACCATTATAAGGAGAACCGTTGCGCTCGGACTGCGCACGCGGACTGCCCGGGAGGGTCCTTGAGCGAGGGCTTGCAGAACTTCTCGAAGTCCATCCCGTCCATGAGCCGGGGAACCAATGGTAGCAGATAGCGTCAGCGTCACTCTCCGGGTGGTACCCTATATCTTACACAGAACCTCGATAATATTGAACTGAACTACCAAATCCTAGTACTAAATCTTCGGAACCGCCAAGGAATAACCGCCGCCTAATAACGGTCGGGACCAAACCTCCTACCCCTACAGATTGCCATATGGTTCCTACTTTTTCCTCCGCATCTGTGCTCACTTTAGCCAGAGCCAATGACACCAGTAAATCCCCTCACTGCAACCGTCATCTCACCGCATATGAGCGGCTCCCTGAAAGCTTTTGGAGAAATGGTCAGCGGCCCCTCAATATCCGGAATTGAAAACATATTGCAATTGGAGATACCCCTCAGAACCCATGTTGACGGTGAGCTCACTACTACAAAATGCCGAGAGTTGTCCCGCTCCATAGCATGGCCAGCCGGCTTCTTCTCAAGTTTTGATTCCAAGACGAGGCAAACATGCGTTACCATATCTTGTCGGCCCTCGCGGCCTCGGTAGCCATCGCTGCCCCAGCCGCAACATCATATGATTACATTGTGGTCGGCAGCGGCCCCGGCGGCGGGCCCCTAGCGGCCGACCTCGCGCGCGCCGGGTACTCGACCCTCCTGATCGAGGCCGGCGGAGACGAGGGCGAGAACCCGACGTACTCGGACATCCCCAACTTCAACGAGGCGGCCAACGACGAGCTGACGCGATGGGACTTTTGGGTCAAGCACTCGGACGACCCGGAGCGAGACCTCAAGTTCCAGCACACAACCTGGGACACGGGCGACGGCACCTTCTACGTCGGCCTGGACCCCCCGGAGGACGCCAAGCTGCTGGGAATCCAGTACCCGCGCGCCGCTGTGCTGGGTGGGTGCGCCATGCACAACGCGGGAGTGTGTGCCCTGCCTGCTGATGACGACTGGAACATCATCGTCAACAAGACGGGCGACGAGAGCTGGTCGGCCGAGAACATGCGCAAGTACTTTAAGAAAATTGAGCGGAACGAGTACTTGCCTGCTGGAGACGAAACCCACGGATACGAGGGTAAGCACAGCATCACAACCCCTTTCTTGCCTGTCCCACCCCCAGAAACTCAACTGACACGCACACACACAGGCTGGCTCGCCACCTCAGTAGCAGACAACAGCTGGGCAACCAACACCTCGCTCCCAGGCACCAAGATCCTGCGCAAACTCGCCGAGCTAACCAACCAAGACCCCGACGCGGCCGCGGACCTCGTCAACCGCGACATCAACGAAGCGACCGCGGACCGCGACGAAACCAGCTCCTTCTACAACATGGTGACGCACGCCTCCGCCGCCGGCAAGCGCAGCAGCCCCAACAACTACGTGCGCGCCACGCTCGCCGACCCAGCCAAGTACCCCCTGACCGTGCAGCTCCACACGCTCGTCACGCGCGTGCTGTTCGACAACGCGACGGTCCCGCGCGCCATCGGCGTCGAGGTCATGGAGGGCGCGTCGCTGTACAAGGCGGACCCCAAGCACGTGGCGGGCACGACGGGTCCCCTCTCCCAGATCCTCGCCACGCGCGAAGTCATCGTCGCCGGCGGCGCCTTCAACTCCCCCCAGATCCTCAAACTCAGCGGCATCGGCCCCGCCGCCGAACTCGCCGCCTTCAACATCCCCCTCGTCAAAGACCTCCCCGGCGTCGGCGAAAACCTCGGCGACAACTACGAGGGCTCTCTCCTCGCGCTCGGCGCCGCCCCCGTCGACTCCGGCCTGATCACGCTCCTCTTCCGCACGCCCTCGGCCCCCACCGCCAAGCGCAACATCTTCACCTGGTGCGGCGCCTTCTCGTTTGAAGGCTTCTGGCCCGGTTTCCCCACCTACCACGGCCCGACCCAGTATACGTGCGCGCTGGTGCACATGGCGCCCAAGTCGCAGGCGGGGACGGTGCGACTGGTGTCGGCGGACCCGCAGGACAAGCCCGAGATCAACTTCCGGTTCTACGAGCGGCACGGCGAGCAGGACCTGCACGAGCTGGTGGAGGCGGCGGACCTGCTGCGCGAGGCGTGGAAGGCCGCCGGGGAGCCCGTGCTGCCGTTGGAGGAGCTGCATCCGTGTCCGGCGGGGGAGGAGGGACCGTGCGATGAGGCGAAGCAGGCCGAGTATTTTAAATTGCAGGCGTATTCGCATCATGCGACGTCGACGTGTGCGATTGGTGGGGATGATGAGCCGTTGGCGGTGTTGGACTCCAAGTTCCGGGTTAGGGGGGTGGCTGGGTTGAGGGTGGTGGATGCGAGTGCGTTTCCGGTGGTGCCGGGGGCGTTCCCGAGCTGTCCGACGATGATGTTGAGCGCGAAGGCGGCGGAGGATATTCTGGCCGATGCGAAGGCAGCAGAGAGACGATAGGTTGGGGGAGATGGATATGAATAAGACGGGCCGCTAGATACGTAGAAATATAATAAGCGGTGGTTAACAAAGAGCCCAGTGCTTGGAGCCGTGTCCATAATCTACATGTAGGTAGTCTGAGGGTACCGTTTAGAACAGGCTCAAGCTATTCAAAAAGTTATGGTTTTAAACATCTAGTTCGGCTTTATAAAATATTTCTTGGGCCAAGTAGCTCCAAGCCTCCAAATTAAGGAAGAACCAAGGGAAATGCACAACAAAAGCTAGATGTCCCCGTATAACCTCCGCGTGGACAGAGGCAGTGACAGCACGATACCCCAATTTTCTTCGTCCTTGGCCATCTCCCTGAAATGCAGTGCTCTGCAATTGAAGTTGTCTGCCTTCGTAGGAATCCAAGTGAATCTCGATGATATCCGCTATCGAAATAGTTCTTTCCAATCAGTCAATAGGGACTGCATGGCATGCAAGAGTCGAGTTTGATGGCCACCCCGGGGCGGCTCTGTATTTCTACCAGTCCTCCAACTAAGCCCTGCCCATCACATCCAACTCAGATGAGGCCGTCCGCAAGGTGAGGCACAATCCGTGCACCAGTGATGGATGGGTCTATCGTTGGGTCATACTTGTCGATTCCGTCGACCGGAGCGTATTTCTCACAGAGATAACACATATTATTGTATGCTCTGGGTGTGAATCAAAGTCAGGAAGGTTCTAAACACAAGTCTCAAACAAACGGTGGCTCCTGGAATCGACTTACGTCTTCCGAAGCGGTGTTCCTGGGTGTCCGGCCGAGTAGTTGATGGCGCCCTTGAGGCTATACAGCCGATTACGGTCATCAAACTCCTCGACAGGCTCCGCAGCAGGGTAGTTTTGAAGGTAATGCCGCGTGTAGGCCTCATCTCGGAACACAGAGCTGAACTCGCATCGCCAGTGCCCCAACTCCATCTCATTGTGCGCGAAATAGGAGCCGGCATCAAAGAGCAGGGTGTCTCCGGTCTGGGTGTTGATGCCCATGTTCCCCTCCCACAAGTCGCCGTGGATGATGCAAGGTTTGATGGCTTCGCCATCGGCGGTGCGCAGGTTATCAAGGAGCATGGGGATGACGACGTCGCAGACCTGAGCGGTGGCACGCTTGAGCTCCGGCCAGGGTCCGTTGGTTTCCAGATCCAACTTGCAGGCTCCGAGGAGCAGTTTGCGGTAAAAAGAGGCCCATGACGCGTCCCAGTCTACAGTATGGGCGAGTATACCGTCGCAGGTTTTGATGGGGAACCCGAATTTCCCGGTGGGGGAGACAGAGGCCTTGTGCATTGCCGCGAGACGGGCGGTCCATGCAGCAGGATCGGGGGCGCTGGTAACGTCCTTTTTAGGGCGTTAGTCAGTGGCTGCTTCAAGGGAATAAGGGAAGAAGAGTATAGGGAATGCGGGTCAATAATACCATGTCGACAAATTCGGAGAGATAGAAGTAGGCGGCCGGCTTTCCGGCCTTGTACCGTCCAAAGGCATACGGGGTGGGAATAAAATTGGGCATGATGTCGTGAATCATCTTTGACGACTCCCACTCTCCGTTGAGCATTATACGGCCGTGTTCGCCATAGGCGACCTTCAGAAAATAGGGGCGCTCGCTCCCGTCCGGCTCGAGGGTCATAATTTGACCGGGCATCGTCCAGGCGCTGGTGGCGACTTTCTCGACAGAAAGGAATTTAACGCCCTTTGGTAAGGCTTTGAGCCGCGCTGTCAGGCAATCTATTCAAACTGCGATGGGGTGGGGGGCGAGCTGGACGCCCAAGACTGAAGTTTACCATCGATCACGGCCTCGTCCATAGGAAAAACGCCGCCGAGCCGGGCCATCATCGCCTTGCTGCTGATCAGCTCAGGCTCGTCGTCCATCTCACTTTCATTTTCAAGATAGATCTTCTGGCTTTGCAGGGATTCTGCGCCGCCAACGATAGCCGGGTATGGGCTGCATGACCGGCGGTTGTCCTGGTTTTCGGGCGCCATGGCTAAAAGGTATGGGGGTAAACAGGGGCTTTTAGGCTTGAATGAAGATGGCGAAAATGAAACTACTACAAGTCAGTGGAAGTAGTCTCTTTGTAAGGTAATGTGAAACCATGGTTGTCAGCACTCGGACTTGACTTGCGGCATGGGAAGATGACACGTGGGTTGGGGCCCGAACCATCGTTGGGCTGTGCTGGTACGTACAAGCAATATTGCGGACTTCTGCGCCGCCTCGCATTCAATTTGCAACACGTCTAGGCCTATGTTTACTACATGTATGGTCTGTATGGTGCCAACATCTTACATGCATATCCGTCACACAACTGGGAGCCTGTGAGTCGGACTTTGGAAGTGAAAGGCGCATTGTTCCTTAAGCCCAGGACGGGAAGTGAAGGTTTAAATACTTGGATACACAAATAAAAGTTCCTGGGCTCAAATGAAAGCCTGCCAAAAATGTGAAGTTATTCGAGTCACGGCGGAAGCAATCCCAAGGAGGGAGAAGAACTACGAGGCAATGGCATGCTATTGTTCCAAACAGGATCTTGTTGCGAGGGTTACCCAATCTAAGAACAGAGGTCTC